TGTGAAATAATGTGGCCCATTTATTTACCGAATATTTTTTAGCATTTTGTCTTAAGTTTAAGGCTAAAATAAAAGTTATATTAGCATACATAGTGTTTCTCTTCTTCATGACAGCTGTAACAAAGTCACTACTGTGGTGACTCATTGCAGTAAAAGGTAGGGAAGTTTTAGTTTTTTACCTTGAAACCCATAATTTTGTTTATATCTAGCCTACGTCTTAAATCGCTTGGGCATTTGAAACTTTGATACGTTGTTTATCATGCGTTTCATGGTTTGGAGGCATTTCTTAATTTCCTGTGTCCTCTGCTCAGCGTAACATCCATTCAGTCATATGATGTTAAATTGCCCAAAGATTGAACGACCTGAGACATTCCGATTCTTTCGAAAATGACATTTCAACATCCCAAAATTATGTGGGCTGCTGTACAATACGGCAGACAGATCGTTCACGCAGGCAACACAATGCATTTTCAAATTACATGATTAAGAAACCCTAAAGAAGGGAACTAGTTAATATATACATATAAAATCATCACAATATCTTGCCTAATCCTGCTAGTGTCTTTTATTTGTAAAGTCTTCATCTGTTCAGTCACTGCACTATGAGGTATGTCGTCACTTATACCATTAATCTTGATCTAATAGGATTTTAAAATATATATTTTAAGAGACATTTCTTTTTCTCCACCACTCTTAGTTACTTTTCACAGACAATCATGCTGCTTGAATAACGCTGCGGAAAAGTAGGTCACCTCCAAGTAAGCTCAGCTTCAAAAATATTTCAACTGCAACTGGCAGGGAAAATGGCTTGAGAAAATAAATGGCATAAAAAAGCAGATTCAAGAGAACGTCTCGTTGCCAATTTTGCATTAAAATACACCCGTCTCCTAGAGGCTTTCCACAGTGAAAACGTGCCATTTTATATGAAACTAGCCACACATAAGACTCAAACACAACCGGATCGACTTGAATTACTATGACCTTTCATGCACTCGGTGTTTCTCACTTCAGTAGAGGTATTGGGGGGGAATCGCAGGCACGCGCACGCCAAACGTGTCCGTGTTTAAGTCGCGGACCGATGCCTGCATGGTGTCCGAGGAGATACCACCTATCCTCCAGAGGGCAGACAAGAGGAAGCCATTCTGTCCTTCTGGCCAAATCGGCAGCGAGAAACTAACTGATCTGAGGATCCCGTACAGCAGTTCGGAAGAAGCCGGGGCAGCTCCTTGAACAGCATGGACGGCTAACTTGCTCCACACACCCACCACCCTTTGGGTAAAGAAGGGCCTCGGGTTTCTCGGTGTTGCGCCCTCTGGTGGGTATTCTGCTGTTCGGGTTCCCCATTGTGTAGAAACCCACTGGGCTGACTGTCAGCGCCATGGGGGATGTTTAAAACTTTTATCAGTTCCCCTCCGTTCAAGACTCAAAAGACCCCCAAATAATGTAAATCTCTGCTTCAGACTTCACCGCAAAAAAATGCTCAAATGGCGAGTTTTAAAACTGCATTTCTTTCCATATTAAAACGTCCTTTGACTGTTCAGAGCTGAAATTATCCCTTGTAAGCCCTTGTAAATCACAGAAAGCGAGGTGTGGAAATTACGACACAGAGACGAAGGAATTAAAAAGTACACTGCTCACAGGATAATGGATAATGCAGAGAAACATAAAATCCTAATGCCTCTAAGGCAAGAAGAAAAACAATGCATGTATAATGCAACTGTAAAGTGATGTATTATCGACTCAAAGGCATTCACTGGTTTATTTTATTGGTTTTCAGAGCAAACAGGACCATGTCAGAACAGAGGACAAAGCTAAAAATACTTCAAGACTGCTATCAGCTAAATATTTGGTGATAAATACTGTCGTTATCTTAACAATAGTGACATTAAAGGCACAATCGACTGGTTCACACAATGCACTTATCAAAGCACCACCTGTAGTTGGAGAATTATTTTTCTAACAATAGTACAGAGCAGGTCACAGCTCTGTCCTCCTGCAAAATAGAAGCTCCTTCAGACACAGCCTCAGAGATAGAACAGTCATAGCCTTCATTTACAACTGCTCGATATGAACACCTTCCAGCACATCCACAGTGCAATCGGCACATCAGATTATTCTTTGGCTCCGACCAAGGATATTTTAAAGAAAAATCTTGGTTATACTTCTACAGTCTTGTATTCTCTAAAGGCCACAAGCGCTTGCAAGATCCAGAACAAACAGTAGAGCATTCAATGAAGAATGCAGCATTATACAGTATAAACATAAATAATTGTCATGCTCTCTAAATACCTAGAGGCAATTAAAACTAAACTGCTCTTCATGTTTCATCCCTTGTTAGCACAATTGCCACAGAAACCAAAGTCAGATTGGTTACCATGCCAAATTACAGCAAGGTTTCTCTCATTTTTCCTTGTCTGTAGACTTCATATTGTTCCTGTACATTTTGCATAGACTTTTAGAACACGTTTTCTGCACGGGAAAGCATTTGTGATTTTTCTTAATAACCATACTACTTAACATAAACTATCAAAGAGCACGTGGTGATTTATCCATTCCCTCCCTGAGCCTTACATCAAGAGAGAACAGACAAACTCCCATTGAAGAAACAGCTGTTGCCTGCACCATCAATACAGGCAGTTTTTAAAGAGTTTCTTAAAGGGGTCTTTAAGAAAGAAGCTGGACTCTAAAATGGGAGCAGAGTACTGGACTGAATTCAGACCACTTCTACAAACATTTTAAACGTTTTTTTTACTGGGAATGAGCACTCTGAATTTATTACGACAATCCATTTGAAGTAACAAAGGTTGTTCCTATCCCTTACTTTTGTCAAATCTCTCAAGGCTCAATTTTTTACTCCATGGTATTGTTGGCCATACCAGCTATTCTTACTGTCTCGCAATCAACTGATCAAATCATGAAGACTGACTGTCCCCAATGCATCACGATCCCAACAGTGGGGCAGTGAGGTCACCAGTGCTTCAATGATCAATTCTTTTTAAGTAGAGAGTTAGGTTAACAGTGTTTATTGTCTGTCCTGTTAGCGTAACTAGATACATCACAAACCTCAGACTAATAAGAGACCATATGAACTGGACAAAAGCATTTGGGAGAACACAGCATTGCAATTCATTCATCCCCAGAGTAATGCCTGTGAATCACCAACATGACCGTTGTTTTCAGGTAAGTACTTGCCCCCTCTATGCCTCCAACAGCTTCATGGAAATCAGAGTTTACCACATCATTCCCCAAAGAGATGGTGCAGCTGAAGTCTAGCCCAGCTTAGAAAACACTGTGGGCGACCCCAGTGGACACTTTACAAAAGGCTACAGAGGAACTGCGGGAGAAGTTTAAAAAGCAACAATTCCAAGCTTTACCCTGAGAAAATAACACTGACTTACGGTAAGCGAAGTGCAAGGTTAAACCAGCCAAATCATCCCATAACACCAGCAGTTGTATTGACTATCACATGCGCTCTCAGAGTACTGCCCTGCCGTCGTGTTTTCGATAAACGAGGTTTTCTGTATGAGCTGCCCTGGGCTTCCCCGGTCACAGTCAAGTCGGCTACAGCGACGGCTCTCTGTGCCAAAGACACGTGGCTTACTCAAGCGAGCCAACAACAAACGAAAAGACTTTCGCCTCACCCCCAAAATGCACGACCAGACTGCCCTGCGCTTCAGCCACCTGACCCGGCACCCCAGCTAGTCAACCGCGGTTTGATTAGCCGTCGTCAGCCCTGCTGCAATCTGCTGCTGCTGCTGCTGTGTGCTTTAAAAAACAGGAAAGTGACTTTATACCACCACAAACATCACACGACAGGTCCCGCACAGCCTCACCCCCGGTATATTTTACGTGTCCTGCAACTAAACACATTTTCTGTTGGCTCTCAGCTTTATGCCATACCTACACACTAAGCACGGGCTAACACAGAAACGCTTAGGTAAAAAAAAAGCTCTGCTCCTCATCCACTCACTGACAAAGCAATGACATACTTCTAAAAAAGTCTCACTTCGAGGGGCAGTTGTAAAACATCGGGTTGAACGTCCCTCGGTCTCCGGCACTATTCGTTACAAACCAGACCCTAATCTAATAAAAACCTAACGAATAAAATCTGCACATGAAATAATAATTGCTCGCAGCCAACTTTTTGTTTTCCTCCCGTGTGCATCCCATAAAATACCCTGACTCACAATGTCGCACGTTGCCCCATATGTGTTACTCCCTTCTTAAAGCAATCTGCCACCTGGTTTATCACAATCTCATGAAACAGGTGGGCCCCTTTCCCTGTTCCCTTTACCTTAAAGCACGGTCATTAGGATAGTGCTGCGAGTATTACACTCTAAATGTGCTGTTAAATAAACAAAATGTAGCATAAGGAGACTACAGAATAGCCGCGCCAGGCACAATTACAGCTGTTTATCCAGGAACCCAACTGTAACACTGAGTGGTTTATGACTTCAGCTCAAATGTAGTGCATACAAAGGTGATGGCTAAGGTTATCTGCGCTCTGCTCTTGTTGTGCCTAAACGCGCTGTTCGGACATTATCGCAGTATTTTAACCTTGATGCCTCGGATATCGATACTGTGCGAACGTGGCACTGCATTTTTTTTTAAAAATGTTGACATGTGACTCCGAAGTGTCCGTGAACGCTCAGTTCTCTGTGATGTGTAACCAACTCATTAAAACTATACATCAGTGCTGCCAGCGGATTCAGCTGGGTAGGGGAAATGGGAGTTTTTCCATCTCGGAGCATGAGATGCGAAGTGGGGGGGGTTTCAAGCCGATCTTTAAAAACCGAAATCTGCGGGAAACCACCGCTGGAAATCCGATACCCCCGTAGCAGAGGAACGGCAGAACCAACAGATAATGAGGGCTTCTCGACGTAAAACGTGAAATAAAGCCACGGTTCTCAAAAGAAATGCGCCGTGCACAACCAGACGGTACGCCGCCGAGGACGGAAACTTGACCGAGACCGTGCACCGCGACGCGTCCGCCGCCTTACCTGTTCTGCCAGCCCTGGAGGAGGTTGGTGTATTTGCTCAACACCCCTTCCAGCTGCTGCGGCAGCCCGGCGCTGTTCCCCGGCACTCCTGCCCGGCTGCCCCCGCACCCCGCCGGGCTGCCAGCCGACCCCGACCCCGATCCCGGGCTGTGGGAGCCGCTCCTGCCCGCCTTCCTGGCGGCGCTGCCCCGGTCCGAGGAAGACGAGGAGCCCGAACTCGTTTTGTGGGTCCCGGGATGCGAGTCGCTCAACGCCTTCTCCATTCTGGCGACAATTCTTCGCACTGTTTTAATATTTCATCGGCATTGGAGGGGGGAGAAAAACACGCCCCTCTCTCTCTCTCTCTCTCCCTCTTTCTGGAATCACAGAGGGAACTTCAAAGATGCAGGATCCATATCGGTCTGGCTGGGTGTCTGTCTGTCCCGGCCACTCGCCCCAGTCAGTCATTGCCCCATAGTCTCCTCCGGCCGCTGCAGCTGTGGCACTGTGCTGCGCTCTGGTAGCGTGTGTGTGTGTTTTTTTTTTTCTCTCGTCTCTTGGAAATCACCGTAGGGTCACTCCCTCCGCTTATCCGCCAACCCGGATATTACACTCCGCTCCAGCGAGCAAATAACATCATCGCGCAGAGCGGAGCAAACCCCTGGAAAACCACCAGCGCAATGCCGGGCTAGCACGCCCGAGCCGTGCCCAGCTGCAGGGCCGCTGTACCGGTCGGGCACGGTTCTCTATTTGTGTTTGTTGTTGTTGTTGTTGTTGTTGTTGTATTTTCCCCCCCAAACTACAGCTGTCTCGTTGTTGGTCGGAACTTCTGGCACCCCGCTGGTTTGGAAATGCATTTTCTTTGATTCTTGGCACAAAAACCCCACCCAGAGGACACGGCTTAAACTAGGGGGCCAGTGCATTTTAGAAGTGAGAACAGGAGTAGTTGTTGGGTTTGTTTGTTTGTTTGTTTGTTTGTTTGTTTGTTTGTTTCGTGCTGAGTGGTTTGTGGGAATTTGAGACAGACGCACTGTGCTTCTCTCTGCCAACAACTTCATGAGACCCCTTAGCTACACATTAGCGGCTGCTTCTTCTTTGTAACCTGTCTTATGTTTGTTTTTGTTCGTGTAGAAAGCCACTCGCAATATTGTTTGTGGTTTGCTTTTTTTTTTGTTAATAAACTTTCGCAAGAAACAAAGCTTTTATGCATTGTGCCGACAGACATTTTTTTATAGAAATGTTCCGGTATGATTCGACGGGTTACACCGTGAGAAAAGCCTGCTGTATTTTGTCCAGATCACGGGAACTTTCACCTTTTCTAACAAACATCTGAGTACAGTCTGTGGGGGGAGACACAGTTCTGTCTCTTTTTAAACCCTGCACTAATTGCTTAGCAGATCTGTCCGGATTGGAGGCAGTAGACAGGACGTTACTTTGTACAGTTATGTCCTTTGCTTTCAGTGCCTAGTGTCTACTGTTCATTCCATTATTATAATTATTATTACTGACAGCACACACGCATACTGAGCACAGCACACTGCGTTTCTATTTGCAAACAGTAGTACTTCACACCGTGTAGTCCAGATTCTGTTTGACATACCTGGGAAATCAATCTGTCCGTGGCAACACAACACCAAAGAGCACGGCGTGGTCGGCTCTGCTATCTTGTAGACTTCGATCATTTAGTACACCCTTTACATAAACTCTCTGAGTGCCTGTGACACGGTTCATTCGCTACCAGAGCTGTTTAATCTCAACTAGAAGCTTGCACCGGAGTTGTGTTTTGTTTTAAAGCGTCTGCAGGCGTCTGCTGGCAGCCTTTAGTAAATCTCCACTAACGTAAAATGAATTTTTTTTAATAGAAAATGGAATACACCACCAAGAAATGATCATTGTTTATAAAATAATCCGTCCTTTTTGTATCCGTTTTATCCAGTACAGGGCTGCGGGGGGGTTGGGGTCTATCCCGGCAGGCAGCGGGTGCAAGGCAGGGTACGCCTTGGACGGGACGCCAGGATAGGCTCTGGTCTCGCATGTGACCCTGTACTGGATAAACTGGTGGAGAAAACGGATGGGTGGACGTACTGTCCACCAAGCTTCTCTCCCTGTCTGTGTGTCTCACGGAGAGCAGGTTGGGGCATGTGAAAAAGACAAATTCCTAATATAAGAAATTGTATATGGCCAATTAAGTGATCTTGTATACAGTTTTCCTTTGCAACTGCTTAATGAAAACGTCCAGTTCAATAAAGGAACACCTACAGTACAGAACACCTTGGAGCCAGGTTAGAAGCATTGCAATCATGCTGTTAGTTTAATAATTAGACCAAATACCTGACTGATAGGCGAGAACGAATAAAAACTCTGCTACGTAGAGGTTCACTACAGACAGTCCGCCTGTGGAAAATAAAACATCTTGCAAAAGATGGGCTTTAAAGTATTAACGGTGAAAGCTTGTCTGTCCTTTTCTGAGTTTTGGGATGACCCCCTGACTTAGATGATCCTTTTCGACGGCGGTTTTCAAAGAAAACAACTACATTTCCCACAACGCACCAGAAACCCAACTTTATGATGACGTATAATACAGCGGTCTCCAGGGCTGTCATTGGAGTAACGTTGCACACGCCTTTGTACTGTACTATCAGTACAGAAAATAACGGGCTCCTTTGTCTATACCATTAGACAATATTGTAAAACCCTTAACCCGTATTTAGTTTTGTGCTATCTACGATGACTGCACCTCTAAAAGTCTGCATTGTAGGGTCAGGAAATTGGTAAGTGCCTGTTACAACCTGATTAGCGTCGTACTCATTTTATAAATAACCTTTGGAGCTCGGTATTGGGGTATACCATGGCTAAACCCCATCTGAAGAAAGACAAAAAAAGGCGATCTTCTATTTTGTAAATGGGTGTAGCTGACTAAACGTATGCTGAAGCGCAGCACCTAACGATATGAAACTAAAATGTTGCGCGCTGATTTATAGACGAACTGGTAAGCAGCTTTTTGTTTGCGTGTCATAGCCTCCCTAATCCCACGTGTGAGGAAAACCGTTTTTCCAACACGGGTCCACGAGTTTACCGTGCGATTTTCCGTGGTAAAGCAATGCGTGTGCAGCCTGTGGGAGTGGTCTTCTTTGCTGTGTTTGTACAGTGAAGTCTCAAGGTGACATCTGTCCCGAGCTGGAGTTGCAACTCGATTCCATTTTTAGTCCTATATCTCCAGCCTCTTTTAAGAGTTCAGTGGTCTCCTTTTAGCTTCCAGTGATTTTAGGTCATCTGGCACAGCTGAAGCTACTGAAACTAGAAACAAACGTAATGAAATATCAGTTAAATCCCTAACGCATTATTCTTTTTTTTTACCCTTTTCTTCTGGACCAGACAGACCCACAACTTTGCAAAGTCTGAACACCTTGTTGCCCATAAACTGCTGCTACCCTGCAGCCTTTTGTACTGTGTAGCTTTGTGGAGCAGTACCCCTCCCCTTGGAGCAGGATCACAGACGCAGTGTGTTTTCGAAAGTCCTACAATCCCTTTGCTGTATTATAATACTACCGTTGACGGAGCTGGGTTACAGATGACGATCTCTCTACTGTGTTATCTCCAGGGGCTCGGCCATTGCGAGGATTATAGGCCAGAATGTGCAGAAAGTGCAGAAGTTTGCCGCCACAGTCCACATGTGGGTCTTCGAGGAGGATATTAGCGGCAGGAATCTCACAGACATCATCAACACAGACCATGAGAATGTGAAGTACCTGCCTGGGTACAAGCTTCCTGAGAATGTGGTAAGAGAGACTACAGGACTCCCCTCTGCTGCATATACTCAGCAGAGTATATGAGTAGATGGAAAACATGGGAGTTAATGTCTAGACACCATTCCGTGTGTCATTCCAGGCAGTGTTTCCCAGATTTGGAGTGCCCCCTGTTTATGATACAACTGAGCTCTTGATTAATAAAGCTCGCAGAGCCCTTACCCTTAATTAAGCCGCCCTTGGCTCATCGAGGCGGTCGGAGGATGGCTGATGGACAGCACCTTTCAGTTCTTGCCCTGGGTTTTCCGTCAGAATCGAGTCAGAACTTGACAGGGCCGATCAAGCACGTGCAGTGTCTTCTTGTCGAGCCGCCCCGCCCCTCCCCAGTCACGGCTTTCCACTGTCCGAAGTGTCCTGGGTGAGGTCTGACGATTGCACAATTTAAGTGCAACATTCCCTGTTTTAAAAGTCGGCAGTTTTGCGATGTATATATCCTAATGGTGCTGTTAAGTGCTTCCCCCCCAGAGTCAAGAAAATAAAAATCATGCTGCAACATAAACAAGCAAGGCTTTTTCATTAGTAGTTTCTTCGAGCTTCCTGTTTCCCCTTCTGATACAGTATGTAATGTGTCATGCTAAATGCAGTACTCATTTGTAGTTGTTCATCCTCCTTTTTGCTGGTATAATTTTGGAGGTTTGTCTAGTTTGCTGCTTACTGTATACCCAAATCTGATTGCTGATCTAAATGAAAAAGAGCAGGAGCCTCAGTTCAGATCAACGTGGAGCTCCACTACTTACATCATCATGCCAATTTGAGTATTCACGCTTTGTTTTCACTGTTTTCTGTTTGCCATCTTTCAATAAGATCGAAATATGTTACTTTGCGTGCCTTACTGCCTGCAGTTTGAGAATGGAAGTCTTTTCATTTGATCAGTGTTCTCAAATGCTCTGAAAATCTAGCCTGCTGTATATCGTATGCTCCATATCCAACCATTACTTTTTACTTGATTAAAGAATTTAAAACAGGTGAGCAAGGCCTGTCCTTTTGAAATCCATGTTAACTTCCCCTTAAATTAATATTGCTACACAGGTGATTAGTTTAGTTGTAATTCTTATTTTCTGTAAACGTACATGTAATAGAAGTCCACATTATAGACGTATAATCACTTAGTTCACGTTTGACACCCCTTTATTGACAGGTGCTACGTCATCTCTTTTCCAGTCGAAGCGTATCACTCGCCTTGAGTAACTGTTGGAAGTCTTTTGTTAATGGACTATAGATAACATCTCTTGTTTCCTTAAGTACAATGCCATCAGACCCTAGAGATTTGTTTACCTTAAGTGCTTCTAGTACCTATAACAAGTTTGCTATTATATAATATACTCTTCTCTCCTTCAGTTGCCTTAGGCCTGTCTATTTCGTCTTTTGTAAAGACCTGAGTGAAATACTTTGTTAATTTAAAAGATCAGAGATTTCCATTTCATTGCCAAAAATATTCCCTTTATTTTTTCTCAGTTCTTTTGCAGTTATATTACTGGAAACCTTTTTTTTTATTTTCACTATTATTTTCATTTTTCTGTCTCCTCTCCCCTATCTAATTTCTTTTCACTGGTGCTTACATTTCATTATATATAATTTCCTCGACTCATTCGTTTTGATATTTTTTAAAAATGCCTTTCCTCTCCTTAATTTTTTTTTTCATTGGTTAAAACCGTTTTGGCCACTGGTAATGGTTCTCTCACCACTGTATTCCTCACTTGTGTTTAGAAAGGCTAGATCAACCTACACTAGACATTTACTCCCAGACAGAGTACGAAAGCAGCTCTCTTAATTTTATTTTCGGCTGTTGATAGCCACACCAGTTTTCCTGGTTTCCCCAATCTAAGTGTGGGAAATTGAATCTCCCATGATCACTTCCTTTATACATAGGGTCCTAATTATATTTTAAAAGACTGTAACAGAGGAAGTGGGCTCAATGACTGTTCAGCAACACCTATATTCTCAACAGAGCTTGATAGCTTTTTGTGCAAGTGTGTCTGCCCGTGCAGGTGTGTCTGCCTGTCCTCAGCTGCTGTTGCTCGGCTTTCCTATTCCCAGGTCGCCGTGCCCAACCTGCAGGATGCTGCGCAGAACGCCGACCTCCTCGTGTTTGTGGTTCCACACCAGTTCATCAGGAGGCTCTGTGACGAGATGGTGGGCTGTGTGTCTCAGAAGGCGCGTGGCATCTCCTTGATAAAGGTGAGGTGTTGTGCCGCTGCCTAAATCGCCAGGTGTGCCACTCTCCCCTGCATCCATCAAAAATTAAAGCAAGAGTCCAAGAACAGCACAGAATGAAGTGAGCACCTTACTTAGGGAAGGAGAAAATAACAATATCCTGTGTCATAAAATGCTGGAGCGCTTTACAAGGCTCAGTAGAATGAGCAAGACACTGAAGTTTGCAGAATGATGGCCTCAGTCCAGGTTTCTGTGGGCAGTCTTCCAGACAGATTTGTAAATGAGTTGAATTACACTTTCCTTTCTTTATAGAGCCGCCACTTTGAAGGGCTTTAAAGAAACACTGGGTCACATTCGGTGACCAGAGACGTGGCAGTTAAGGACTTCCCTCACGTTGGCCGACAGGAAAGCTTTATTGCAGCAGTGTTAAATAAAGAGGTGTGACAAGAAAAGCCTCCGAACAACATGACACGGGCTTTGAGTTTCTCCTTAATGCTTCATTTCTTTTTAACACTAAGGTGAAACAAGCCCAGGCCTAGCTACAGTATGTGTGCTTGGAATAATCCGCGTCCTTTAAAAAGCTGCAGTGACAGGGTTCGTTCTGTTTTCTGTCTTTATTCAGCACACTCATGACCATTAAGCGTACTTAACATTTTGATGTTGTTTAAATTAATTTTCAAGTGGACTGGCTACCACTGAAAAATCATACCAACCCATGTGAAGCTGAAGTAAGTCTCTAATGGCGAGACGAGTATGTGCGCAGTGGTGAAGGGTTCTGTGTCCTTTCATTGACATTCATCTTCCAATCTCCTCCTCTATCCCCTGACACACACTCCGCTGTGAGCATCGACACTTGCAATCTTAAATCTTTTGCTTAACCTCCCAGCAGTTTTGGACGACACAAGCAAGTTTCATTTTCCTGTTATCTTATCTAATCAAAATACTAAATGCTTTACGATTAAATTTTTATTTGATGCTATTAAATGCTATTTCGATCTCTTATTTGTTTTCGCTGGAGAGAAATTATTTTGCAAGGACATAAAGGATTATAATTCTGATGTGGTGAGTGTAAAGTACTGTAAAAAAAAACTTTGCTGATGAAGCTGCCATACTGTACATGAAGGATGATTACAGAAATACTTTATCTTTTAAAACTTCAGAACAGGTCAGTACATTTTAAAATTCTAGTGTGTTTGGAATCTTTCATAGATGAAGTTTTAGATTTTTTCCCCTTAAGTCTTCTTTTTTTAAATATTTTTTTTTTCCATGTGGAGTTTTAAAACCTAAAACAATAGTGTTTAACATCAAGAGCTATTCAGTGTGCTGATAACTGATAAACTGCAGGGTTACCATCTTTTAGCTAATTCTCATCAGATCTTAGCAGCTAATCATGGCTAGGCCAGGCAGCAATTGGACTGGAGGCCTTAAGAGAAAGCATGTATCTGGCTGAAAGTGGTGTTGGTGGACACATTTCTCTCTGAATTTAAAGTTTTGAGACATTGTAGTGACAGGGGCCCTGTGCTGTAGGAAATACAATCCTTCAGATTCCTTCAGACATGTTTAACAGATAACCTGGCTACTTTCTTGGGAAACATCCTGTGGTACAGATAATAAGAGTAGGGGTATCAAACCTAGGGTGCTGAATAAACTTTGCTCTGGTCTTATGTAAATCTGACCTCCTTAAATTCAACCTTTAATTCAACTACAGAAGCAATGGTCCGATTCTCTACTCGATTCTCTCTGTGGCACAAGTGCTGCTGTATTACGCGAGTCAATTTAAAAAAAATGGTGTCAATGTTGATTATACTGTATCCTGCTTTTTGTTTTTTTGAGTAATATCTGGAGAACTGTTTTTTTTTTTACTTCAAGAATCGTAAAGCTTCTTTACTTCAAGAATCTTGAAGCCTAGAAGCTTGAAAAGGTTCTGAAAGATACTTTAGAGCTGAGTTGTGGTGTTTTTTGTAGTTTTTTTGTGTTTCCTGCATCTTAAAATCTGGAGTACAAAACTTCTTTTTGGCATGCAAAGCTTGCTCCCTCGGTCATCGATAGCAATTACTTGATTTGCATCTTTCAATTCTGTGCACAGGGCATAGATGAAGGCCCAGAAGGACTCAAATTGATATCCGACATCATCCGAGAGAAAATGGGCATCGACGTTAGTGTCTTGATGGGAGCCAACATCGCCAACGAAGTGGCAGCAGAAAAATTCTGTGAAACCACAATAGGTAATGCAGTTACTATAGCCTTTTTTCTGTACAAAAACACAGCATTGTAAAAGACAATAGAGAGTTTTTGTGTATTTTTGTTTAATGTTCACTGAACTGTGTGAATCCTTATGTAGTAAAATAATGGACCAGTTTGTGAATATGTCATATTAGGTAAAAATAAAGTATTTTTTCTCCAAATGTGATAAGCCAAAGAGCAAGACATTCCTGGTTATAATTCTTTTGCTTTCTGGGAATCTTTTAACTTCAGATTCACCCAAGAAAAACAATCTTTCAGCTTGGTACTGTGCAGAACGATATCAAATCCTTATTGTCATTTATTGTCATTGTTTTTCCACTTCATCTGTAGGAAGTGAATGAAAACTACAATACAGGAGGAGTTACTTCTGGCTCTCAAGTGTTTGAGTGCTTTATGGTTTTTCAAGACTTTTACAGCCTGTGCAGAAACTGTGACAACACCAATTAGTTTTCCACAAGAGGATTAAAGTCATTAGTTGGTTCCCAGGGCTGTTGGAAGAGGTTAAGTGATTAAATAGATCAGGGTGACACTTTCTGGAATAAAATGTTTTATTCATCAGCATGTATACTTTTTATAATTGTCTTTGGTTAATGCATTCTTTTGCACAGCCTACAGTATGTGCATCGGCTGTGTATGGCCGCCCTTGAGATGATTAATCATGGGAAAACAGGTGCATTTCTTAATTTCAGGTAGTAAGAACATGGAGAACGGCCTCCTCTTCAAAGAGCTCCTGCAGACACCTAATTTCCGCATCACAGTGGTGGATGACGCAGACACTGTGGAGCTTTGTGGGGCTCTGAAGGTAACAGATTTCTTTGCATCACGTTAGTCTCCTGTGCACTGTGAAACTACTCCACACACAGGAGGCCCTTGTCATTGCAGCAATTAGTGTAGCCTGACATCTGCACTGTCTGGCAAAACACTTGCACTCCTGCTTCCCCATGGCCTCAATTGGGAATGTGCTTGGGTGGATGAGTCACCCCTGTTTTTAATGGGAGACTCCTGGGAAAGCTGAGGTTGCTGCTGATAGAGAGGTTAGTGGGGCCAGTAGGGGGCCCTCCAGTAATGCCCCAGTATAGTGACGGGGACACTATACTGTAAAAAGGTGCCGTCCTTCTGATGAGATGTAAAACCGAGGACCTAACTCTCTGTGGTCATTAAAAAATCCCAGGGTGTTTCTCGAAAAGAGTTGGGGTGTTACCCTGGCATCCTGGTCATGACCTCCTAATAATCCAGGTGGGGCTGCACACTGGCGGGGGTGGAGGGGATCCCCATTACCCGAAAAGCGCTTTGCGCTGTGTGTCCAGAAAACCGCTGTATAAGTGTAAGGATTTATAATAATGAGACATTTATTGAGGCCATGTAGTGTTCTGCTCGGTACCGTATTATCTACAACCCAGGCTCACTGGTTTAGCAGATTCCTGTGATTGTGCTCCAGATTTGCTTTAAGATCGTAGGGCAAGTAGCATCAGACGAGACAGGGTCCTTGAATTGGGACGGTGAGGTATGGTAGCACGTTCCGTCTTGCAAAATGCCAGACTTAATTATTCCTTTGTTGCTTTAAAAACATTGTTTCAGCAAATGTCGTTGTATCAGAATGAAACAGTTTTGTTTTCAATGAAATGGGTAAGCATTTTTTTGTATTATATTTTAATCGGAGTTATATTTCACTGCTATTCCGTAAAACAGTTTTTATTTAATGGACGGGAAGTGTCTGAATTATCTCTTGGGTGTTTTATGCAAAATGGAATTATCTGATTTACAGAGCAATGTATTGTACTTAAAATGCAAAGGGGAAAAGGATTGTAATCAGGTCATCATGCCTGTGCTGAGCAAATCCTAAATTTCTGATAGAAGCAAAAGACAAGGAACATGATGCTAAATTTATTTTGAGTGCACTAGAGTGGGTAATTGGCGAATTATCATAAAAAAGAACTTGTCACTAAAGCAGTTTATCAGCAGAATTGGTCATACTTCACTAATCTCCTTAATTCCTTTCATCACTTGATTGGTTTCATTACTGTCAGCTGAGATGCGAAGGATTAATTTACTGTACATGTACTATGGTTACCTTTATAGTTCAGTATTCCAGGTAGCACAAGATCCAGATGTTTTATAAACAACACATGACAGTGCTTGTTCAATATTGCCTGAGAGTTTGGCCCTTAAAATGCAGGCAAGTTATCATTTTAAGGACATTCCAAAACAGTAAAGTTAGATTAGTGTTGTAATGAGTATGTGGATTATAATTGTTGGATAAGGAGTTGTCAAACCACTATAAGAAATCAGGTCCTGACAGCAGCTTAATATGCAAGCAAAGTCTTAAGTTAATTAAAGAAAAACCAAGTTTTCACAGTACGTATGTTTATTATTCTCGGGCACAGCTTGCTAATAGAGCCTGAGAATAGAGCTTGTTAAAATAACCAGATGGCAGCCTTACTTAGTCTGACAAATATTTATGGCAGTATATACGAAAAACACACCACACGGAATGGTTGCAGATATTTGCAAATCATAGTCAATGATTTGCAGAGCCCTGTTTTCAAGAGAAATTTCAGATTTCTGTCATTGCAATCTAGATGCAACACACCTTAAAGCAAAAGAGGTAACCTTCACCCTTTTAAACTAAAGGATCCTACCTAAGACTAAATCTCTTCTCTCTAAACCAATTTAAAAAAATGAATGGGACCATTTCCCCTATCCTGAACAGTGCAACACTCACTGTAGTGAGATGCCACTAGCCTGTGAAATTCAGGAAATCAGAATTTCCACAAATAAATAAAATGCAGTCCCATTTAGGAAGAGATTCTTTTTCTTCAGTGATGAAGGAGGAAAACCTCACCCAGGGTCCAGACTTCTTCTATACCTTTTACTCATGAAGAAGACTCAACAGCAGATGTAATTGTTTTTGCGAATTGCTTCTTCAAAGTGACAGCACACTTTAAAGCCATAAAATGTGAAAACTGTGCATGGGACTGAATATGTTTGCAAGGGGATATGAGCTGTAAATGGAGGCCCCGACTAGCTCTGTTGGTAGAGCACGAGACTCATCATCTCGGGGTAGTGGGTTCGTGTCCCACGTCCAGACCATGAACAATTACTGTTACGGAAACAGCAACAGGATGATGGGGAAACATCCATAAGCTGTAACTGCTTGTTTAAACAGCGAGCTGAAGCACAGAATTAACTAGAGCCAGGAGAATTCTTTAAATTGAATTTCTTTTTCCTCTGGAAAGGATGGGAGATGAAGATAAATCTCCCCCCAGGCCAGACCTCTGCTCAAACTCTGTCCAAGTGAGTTGTCAGGGCAGGTCAGAGCAGTGTGGAAGCGAGCCTTACCTGCTCCCCTCAGCGTTTACACAGACAGACTAATGGGATGTACAGTAACTCTGTATTTGACAGTGCTATTGATCAGCTCATTTTGTTTATTGATTTGGTATTGAACTGTACTTACCTACTGTATCAGTTATGTTTGACTTCCGTTTATTGAATACTGATTCATTCTGACAGTTACCAATTCAGATTCCAAGTCATGGAGTGCTAATATTTATGTCTGCAGTTCCATGTTATTTTTATTATCAGCAGTCATTAAACTAAGGGATGTTATGAATAGTAAAGTTTCTAACGGACAGAGGTACAGCGTTTGTGACTGTTAAAACTGAATTGCCGAAAAAATATTAATTTGCAAGCATTCCGATTCTTTTCCCACTGTTTCATGTGCCTCCAGCGTCTGCTCTGTTCCTCACAGGCACAGAGGAGGAGGTGCTTTCATGACTGTCTGGGTTAAGGCCGCAGGTGATAGGACTCACCCGGGCCTTATCAGGATCACAGTCAGTATGGTGCTTTATTGCTTGAAATAACAAGAATGGGATTTGAAAGTAAGAAAAGAGAGCTTGTGTCATTTTCTTTCTTGTTGCGGCAGTGTAATGAGAAACAGTAGGAAACCCAGCTGCACTTACCTGATACTCCATTGAGCACTTAATTGCTGCCTCCATAAGGAGAAAACATCCGTGATACCAGGCATGGTACTTTATTACACTCAAGTTCCACCCGTCGATTGTCAGAAAACTGTTGATTCCTTGCTGTGATAATTTAGGAGTGCCAAGTCGCCACTGGCTTTAGCTGCGCCCTCTGGTTGAGGGCAGGAAGTCAACCCCACAAACTATAATCCACCTTTAGAGTCCTAGCTACACGTGCGACAGCTCAAGCAAGTCGGCCTGCTGAGCCCTTGTTTTTGTTCAACCTTATAGCGACAGTCAACGTACATTCCCTCTTTCCCCCTCTCTCAGCCCCTCTTGTCTCTTATTCTTAAAGCAGGCAAGACCTCGGTGTCCCACAGGTCTTTTAAACAAAAGACAAGAGCTGTGCTCGGCCTGCCCTTTTGTACCCTGAGGGGAAAGGTTATCCCTGACGGCCGAGCCTCATCCCACAGGAAAGGAGCCAAGCGCCTTTCCCTTTGCTTACCCGAAAACGCGATTTCCTCCTGGAAGCAGGGCGGAGGAAACGGCCCACTTCAGCAGGCAGGATGGAGAGGGTGTATAGTGGGTAGTGTCTTTTCAGACCAGAATACTGTATATTCAATCTACAGCCATGCTTGATATTCTGTCTCGCTGGGAAAGGCCAAGACAGCCTTCAGCTTACCTGGGGAGCACAGGACTGGATGTGGTCAGACTGAAACTCCCCCCTGTGGTGAGCTGCTGGCACCCAGAGGAAATTAGAATGGTTTACAAGTCATTTTCAAATATAAACTCCAGGACTCTGCCGGCGCAGAGAGGGTCTGTTTTAAGCAGATGTAAGAAGAAGTCATTCAGGAATGTCATATTAATACTGTATCAGCTGAAAGATGCCCCGGTCCCCTCCGGACAATCGAAATCTGCAAGGGAAACGGAAATAGCTTTTGCGCCTTTTGCAGCCAAGAGTAATAGTATTGGAGGGGTCATCCGTTACAACCTGGCTCTCAGTCCTTCCCTGCATTCCTTATCTTTTCAACTAGCGGCTCTGGCTGTGCTGGTCTGACTGCACATCTGAAGCCAGTCCCTTTGGCTCCTGTCGTCAGTGGTCAGCGATGGAATATAGACAACACCTGCAGACATGCTTTTAAAGTATTCTGCAGGCAACCACAGTCTTAGTAAAATGAGTAAAAGCTCTCCAAGCTTGTCATTTTCAAACAGATACATAACCACTGAGAAATCTACTTAAGTGATGGAGCTCCTTTTCTGAAGCACTGTGATTTCATAATGCTCACTGATTTATGCACTTATTCCCTTGAAGTTCCTTCTGAAGTAACAAGTAAATGAGAAGGACAGTTCGGCTGTCTCAGATGAATACCAATTGCTTTAACCTCCTCACTGCAAAGCTGGATGTTTATTCATAAGGATGAAAAGCTGCTGTAAGATTAACAGTATAGGTGGAAAAGGCGTGTAAACTGAGGAGCAGTCTGTGCACAGATTTAGGAATTTGGGAGCTACAGAACGTCCTCCTGTGGAAACCTAGAAAGCCTAAGACACAGGTGTATGTACTGTTGTAACAAACAAATAAGTACTGTTGTTCAAAGATTATAGGTGCAAAGCTCCAGTTTTATGAAGCAAACTTCAGCTGTTTCTGATGCAAATTGTTGCCATGGTAATGGGGGAAGGTCACCTGTGTTTGGACATTCTCCAGACCTTGAACACTTTGAATGGCTGGTCTCATCTTCCCATAGTTAGGGAGTCTGTAGCTCGCACTTGGAATCTCTCATCGGTTAGCTCCCATCCCTGCCTTTTCTCAAAAGTGCGGAAGCATGGAATTTCTTGCACCGAAAGAAGTCTTTGTACAGAAAGAAATCAGTTAACCCTTTTTTCACATCTCATATCTTTCTTTCTGCCAGACCTGACATTCATTGCTCTCAGTAACTTAATTGGACGGATCCAACACAGCGTACGTTCACAGGCCTGATATGTTTTCGCAATGTGTCGGCTTCAGCAGCTGATCGCAGTACAGGTACGCCAGGTGTGTGAACTGAGAAGCCGAGCCGGGAGCCGCTGTGAGGTTGCTTGACTGTCCCCTCTGCGCCCCTCTGCCCAGAACATCGTGGCGGTGGGCGCCGGCTTCTGCGACGGCCTGCGCTGCGGCGACAACACCAAGGCCGCCGTGATCCGCCTGGGCCTGATGGAGATGATCGCCTTCGCCAGGCTCTTCAGCAAGGACGGCGCCGTGACCTCCGCCACCTTCCTGGAGAGCTGCGGCGTGGCCGACCTCATCACCACCTGCTACGGGGGCCGGAACCGCAAGGTGGCCGAGGCCTTCGCGAGAACCGGGCAGGTAGGCCGGGCCCGCGGGCCTCGCTGACCGCTCGTCTTCTCGTCTTCCGAGAGGGACCTGGTGATCGCGGCGCGGGAAGAGGCAGCTTCGTGCCCCGTCAGGGAATGAGCCCTGCTTTGCAGACGTCTTAGACGTGTTGCGTTGTCCTGCTCTTCTGAGTTTTCTCGTGTGATCTACTGAAACGTTAGTCGTTTGAGGCCAGGGTTCCCAAGCTCAGTAACTGATGGGCCTCGTGCCTTTTGTTGTTTTTTTTCCTTCAACCTAAATAGTCAATTAAACAGTTAACCTCAATATATTCTATATTACACATATGTTATAGATTCTCTTGAGGTCATCTATCCAAAACATTGTAGGTGGGGTTGCCTATAAATCACCTCAGAGCCTGGTTAGAAGTCCTACAGTAATGCATCTGGTTCAATAATCAGACCGCCTGTGTAACTGAGAACATGGGTGGAGACACCAGGCCCTCCAGCAGCCATCTAGTCCCCAGTAGTTAACCCAGTAGTTAACCCTTTAACCCTTTAACCCTTTAACAAAGCCCTTTACCTCTTATCTGAATGCACAGAGGAAGAAATGAAGTCAGTGACAGCGGAGACCTTGTGGTCGGGTTTTTGGAGTTTGCGATCAGTGTGAATTTAAGATGGTAAAAAGACAACTTGGGCTTCTTCTCCTCCAAAGTACCCTGTATCGCTATGAAAGGTATGGTATAGCGCTGAAAAAAGAAGCTTTGAACTGAAGATGCAGGGTGGAAAACCGGGAGTGGCGTGATCAGGTCTTGTCCGTCGAACCCGTGCACGGGCCGCTGCTGTGCCGGCGTCCGTGTGGATTGAAGCCTGCCTCTCCCCGGCAGAGCATCGAGGAGCTGGAGGGGCAGATGCTGAATGGCCAGAAGCTGCAGGGCCCGCAGACCTCCGCGGAGGTGTACCGCCTCCTCCAGCAGAAGGGCCTGGTGGACAAGTGAGTACCTGCCCCCCGCCTGGCCTGTGCGGGGTCCTCCGATTCCCCCGGGGGCTCAGGCGGTCTTCATAGATAGATAGATACTTTATTGATCCCGTGAGGGAAATTGCACCCTTAATCAGCACCCTGTTGAAGAAAAAGTCAAGTTTTTTTTAAGATTTTGATCTACAGAAAGAACTTTGTTTCCCCAGATTCTGAGGGCCTGCTTTTTCCCCCCTTACCAGGACGTTTGTGGATATGAGACTCAAGATACTATTTTTTTTTTTACTAGCACCTCTGGATCTGTCCATACAAGTGTGACTAAAGCTGATCATCTATTAGTCACCAACACTACAAGCTGCAATCCTGACCTGGACCACCCCTTGCAACTGTGCAAGGGGTGGTCTTGACGGTCACTGATTATACTGGCCTTCCGCAGTGTTGGGAGCAGTCCAATCACAGACTCTTTTAAATGTCGTTTAACGTTTTACGTTTTCCCGTTGGCTGGAAAACATGAGTACGAGTATGCTCATGCTTTATCTGTTACATTCATTCATTGCAGTGTGAATTCATTGCTACCTACATTTTTCCCCAACGCTGTATGCTGAGAGCATACCACAGCACGCTGGCAGCACAGGACAGAACGCTTGTTTCCATTTACAGTGTAGAGGATATTCTTTAGTCACTCACCTTGTGTGATTTTCATGAAGTGGGCTAGAGATACACCTTACAAAAAATCATGTTCACAACAGGACTTTGGCTCAGGTACAAGTAAAGTAATCACATGCATTAAAATGACATTTCAGATAAAAGAGTGATGCTGACATGCTAGTGAAACCTCTACTCAGCTGGTATAAAACATGCAGGGTGCAGGATTCTCTCCTGCAACACACACTGAGCCATAGTTTGAGTACTTAGTGTATTCTTGTCAAGTCTGACCTCTAGCCTGGGTTATTTATCAGTGCGCGATCCAAAGTCATACCCATGCTTGCTCTGTATGTTCAGTGTACAAATAATCCTTTATCTGCTAGTCGCTCTATTGCAGCTTCAGACAATTTTCAGACTCTGCGGCGAAGCGCTTTACTGCCCTGACACACTGTCCGAAGGGCAAGATGAGCCACAGGCCGAGGAGTTTTTTCAGCTCACAGTCGTGTTGGGTTGTGGATACTCCCTAGTGACTTAAGCTGAGAGCCTTTTATTGGAGGCAGCCCTTTTACGGTGAAAGGATGTAAATTCTGGTTTCTCCTCTCAGCGCTAAGCAGATTTCACACACTGATTGGGTTGAATAAATGTGAAGAAGTCAGTCAGAGGAAACTCCTCTCAGCCCTGCTCGCTTATCTGAAGGATGTAGAACTTTGGATCTGAAGGAGACCGTATAGTGTCCTGAAAGACAAGTGAACTACAGTAAATCTGCTGTTTCAAATAATAATGATCATTCTGATCCACTGTTTTCCCTCAATGCCTCTAGGTTTCCACTGTTCACGGCTGTCTACCAGATCTGTTACGAAGGGAAGCCAGTTCAAGAGATGATTTCCTGCTTGCAGAGCCACCCAGAGCACATCTAATCGGGTTTCTGGCACTGCGTCCACCTTGCTGGGCTGCTCACGCTGATAAGCCTGGCCAGTGTCTAGCTGGAACAGCGAGGCAGTGAATGGGGTGGAGTGGTTAGTTATAAAATCAGATGCTTGTCACCTCAGCACTGGGGAAGCATAACATTTCAAATAACTATAAAGAAAAATCATCCTGTGTTTCTTTTCTTTATCTGGTACACTTTTGAGTGCATTACAAAATACTGTTTACACTGTAAATGAAGTAGTACAACTTTGGTTTATGAATGAGTATAATGTACTATTGTTTTTTTAAATGCTGCTTTTTTACTTATTTGATAATACAGAGAAGCAGACGAAGAAATGTGTCAATTTCCAGACAGGATTGGAACTACAAATTAATAATTCATTTTATAAATATACAGTATACACTGTTCAGTGTATGTTTAATTTTCACTGTGAAATACAAGGGTTCTTTTCTGATTTCCTTTTATTGTCTCTTGTGGAAGAGTATTTTTAAGAAAGATTTCTTCAGGTTTTCAATTCAATTCTTCAGATGTTTTTAAAGTATACCTACAGTATAAGTAATCATAATATCAATTATAAGGTAAGGCTTTGGATAACAGTCAAAGTGTGGAGTAAGATGCACATTCTGAAAACCAATTTTTTATGATCTTCGGCAGTGGTTTGATGTTTTGAAATGAGATTTTCAATAAGTTTCTTTCATTAATTATACAGCTCTGTTTTCTAGCCTGTTTTCTCACAATACACTAATTCCTGGGTTTTTGTTGTCGTTTTGTAAACCTAGGTTACATTTCATACTGTACAAACATCTGCAGAAAGGATCTATTATTTTTAAACAATATGTTGCAAAATTCAAGTTCTGACAAACTATAAATGGGGGATATTGTATGATACTTCAGATTAGTTGCTGCAGTAAAATGTAATTCTAAGCTGTTGATCTTGACTGCAAAGTTAGTCCTTCAATCAACAGCTGGGAAGAGTGAGACCCAAAGAGGGCCAGTTTTTATCAAATAAAACCATGGGAAACTGTGAAAAAGTCTGACCTGGCAACCTTTTATTCAAAGGCAAATAAAGACTTATAGACATTGCTTTGTTCAATAGACCCTCAGGTCTCCAGTTCATAATGAGAAAGCTTTAGATTCCTTTAGATGTGTAGCTCTTTAGTTGAAAGAACAAGCCTTACTTGCCTTGTCTTTATTGGACAAATGAAAAAAAGACGCTTTATTTTTCAGTTGTGTGGCGCACATTCTGTCCAGCTTCCAGGAGACGTGCATCACCAGGGATTTGTTTCCTTCGTGTACCTTATCAAAATGTATTTCAAAAGCACCAGAGTTTTCTGTGAAATAACTTGAACCAGTCACAACATTGATAGCTTGTGTCTGCAGCTCGTTAAAGTCTTTAAGTAGACTCTGAATATACTAAGGAATGTAACATGACATTAATATGTAATTGGAGAATTGTTATCAGTAAGATATAATTCTGTTTTGTATAAATTCATCCTTACGTTATTCACTGTTTTATGACTCTGGAACTATCCTTCATTGAACTTAAAAATTATATGTGCAACATGTTTGTTGGAATAAATACTCGTGTAATTCTGTTTTTCATGGCTCATTGTGTCTGGTAGTATTTCATTTATTCTATTGATTTTTTTCTGTTTTTCTCAGGTGTAGGAAAGTAAAAAAGTTCACAGTAAGCCCTGATTAATTGTTGAAATGCAATGCACAGATCTTTATGCTCAAGATATGATCATTTTTTGAAGCATTTTATTTAGTTCAGATCTTAATTCCTTCAGACTTTTAAGGGTTACAAAAATGACTAAATAGTCCTGTATATTTCTTAAGCATAATAAATTGTATATTTAGATGCCGAAACAGGTTTTCAACCTTTTGCAAAAAAAAACAAGAAAGCGCTTTTAATGTTTTTTTAGAAATGCCAGTGCAAACAGCGCCACCTGCTGGCAACGGGATAGATGTATCCAGCAGAGAACTGTCGGCTATGAAAAAGAATTGAAATTGCTTTTGACGGGGTTGTGGATCCCTTGGGGCTTCTATACCAAAGAACTCTCAGTATCCAAGAACATGAAGGGACAAGGGATCAAACAGTTACTTTCAGAATCACTGCAGTGTTGGTCTCTTTTTTCCAAAGTCTAGAATTTGAACGTATTTTAATTCCACTAGATCTAGACCTTTCAGTTTTTTTTCTCTCGTCTGATTTTTAAAGACAAACGACACTGGATTCATATCAATTCTCCTCTAAATGACAAACCAGAGACATGGATTCATCTAGCTAGAACAGCTTTAAGAAGGTGACAGCTGAAAAATTATTCAACTTAAGAAAAGAGAAATGTTCTTTTTAGATTCATTCTTGAGCGTAGATATCTTGAAAACCTGAGTTTACACAATAATACCCAATTCTAATGATGGGTTTACACATGACATGTTTGTAGGTGCTCTACAGAATTTGATCAGGTAGTTTTTGAGAAATGGATAGTGATTAATAAAATATTTTGAATCTTTTTTTAATTAAAATCAGTTTATTGATGGTACCACAGCACCGAATAACACATTAGACACATTGCACATATTGTAACCTTTTGCAATAACTACTTAAACATTTACTCAGCTGCTTTGTAGAAGCTTTACATAAGGTATTTACATCCAATGAATATTAATATTAAATTGTATTCTTTATATAATGTTCATAAGGTAAAAAAGGTACATCTTCAGAACTATGAAGACCTCAAACATGACCGTCAAGTGATACTGCATGTGCCTGTCCCGATGCCTTTGGAGAAACTAGGATTTCCTGATTAATTTAGATCCAGACGCTTAACTAAATATTTTAAAATGTCTTGGAATAGACCCAGATTAGGAGGGCTGTGTGTTAAATATCCGAGATATGAAGACGGGAGATCTGGATGATTCCCCAGTATTGCAACCTCCCAGGTTAATATGCTTAATTAGCCTTGGAAAGGATTTACATGAATAAAATCAGTTAACTGAACAGGAATCAAGCTGAACAGGAAGGGTTATCCTTACCAGTTCCCACAAGAGTACCGAAAAATGTCACAGATAAATGTGCTCTGTCTCCTCTTCTGTTACAGCATGTCTCACAGCAGCCAGACCAAGCTGTCCTGTCCTCACACGTACATTTCTTGCTCTTTACAGTTCTCCAGATGGGACCTTCCTCTGCACCCACGATGTTCAGCGTTCCTAGAAAGTAATTCTGATCAGGATAAAAAAACTCCCTTTTTTGGATGAAAGTACAATTATTTTTGTAACATCACATTTTAAAATAATGAACCTTTACAACTCCATCTCGTCAAAATGCCGAACACAAACGCAGCATGACATTTCATACGGAGCTGGCTGGAAGGGGAGAACAGATTGGAGTTATTTACTTCAGTGCTTGGAAGTAAAGGGCATTGGATTTGTATTGATTACCTTCTGACACAAGAAATCTAATATTAGGGGCTCCAAGGTGACACAGGTTTAGAATTACTGAGATTTTAAGTATTACTGACACACCACAAAATGTTCAGTTCAACCGTGATAACGTTTGGTAATAGAACATCACATTTTGTTTCAGTTTTTTAAATGTATAGTGGCCCAAAAAAATATTTCACATACACCAATTTGTAATTGCCAGCTATCAGGTATTCTGTCTCCATAGCAGGCCATGACAAGCATCTTGAAATACAAAGGCCACATTCAGACTTCCAGTTATTTCTGTGCTTAGATCCGATATTTCTTTATCATTTGCCAATTCTACACTGTACAGGTCGCAGTTTCTATAAAATGTGAGGAAGAGCTAAAATTGTCCAAGCAATGAGATAACTGGATTAATTTTCTGACAGCTTGGCTAACATGAAAGTCAGGGGGGGGACAACAAGAAATGAGACTTCCAATACTTCAGAGTGTCCCACAGAACGAGCACAGGAAGACAGGTGAGGAACTGCTGGAGTTGCCGTCGATTTTAAACTGCTCCCCAGTCTGCCACGGGACACCTCTCAGACAGCCCAGTCTGAGCGCGGAGGTCGCACAGTGCAAGTCAGTCTTCCTCCTCATCCTCTCCGAAAGAAAGCAGACTGCTGTTTTTCACTTTTCTCTGCGGGTTCTCCCTCTTCTTTTCCACTTCCTTCTTCTTCTTGCTGGAGCTGGCTGTGATGCCCTGGAAGGTTCCGGAGCTGCGTTTCACTGGCTTCCTGAACACGATCTTGCCGTCTGCAGGAGCGTCGCCCTCTGCCGGACAAGAGCAGAAAGAAAACGTGAAGCAAACTGGCCGTCATCCTCACAGGGATGTTCAACAGGCATTTCCTCCCAGGGGCCTGGGAAGACAAAGTCCAGAAGATTCTGAAGTTGACCACTGAATCACCAGTTCTTGACGGCCTAAATGTAACTGTGATTGCAATGTAAACTGGTGTTTTGTGATTATTTGGAGAAATATAATGATTAACATTCAGTCCCCAATACATAACTTGCATGCCTAAAGAAGCACTGAAATATTGTGGTTTTCTTCTTTGTGCTTCCCACTCTACTTAACTTAACCTCTACCTCTGCACACTGCACACTCAAATCACTTTACATTATTTGCTTTCAGTGAATTTCAGTTAACTCCTGGTTCTGAAGGGCTGCTCTCCTGCGATGTCCAGCGAATCTTTATGTTGTGCACTAAGCCCCGTAGAAGTGTGTGAAGATCGTCACATATTTCTGCTGAAATGGTGCTGGGCAGAAGGTATACCTTTAATCTTCCCAACATGTGGCCAGACATGTTGTCTCTGTGGCTTGCCTGTGCTTCTCAAGATTTAAAACTGTCACTTAATATACACAGAAAAGTAAAAAAAAAACACACTCAGCTTCCAACAACTGCAACAGTCAACAACAGACCTTAATATTAGTCTTAATATTCCTATTTTACACATTACATCTCTTATGAAAGGGCAAAAGTTTAAAAAAGTGGCACTTTTCAGCCCCACCTGGCAGACGACTGCAGTGCTGCAACATGCGTTCAACCATGTGATGTATGGAAATCTCTACACACATTACGGGTTGCACAATGCAGTACACAACACTGTGTTTGAACCACTTTCATGTTTAATTGTGTTGCTTCCTTTGCTAATGCAGAACAGATTAATAGAGCCGTAACCAGTTGGATGTAGTGTATCTCAAAATAGTATCCAAATAAAATATCGGCACATCATCATCACCTACAGCAGACAGATTCTTTGTTGTATGTGTACCCTGGCGTATAGCAGCTTAAGATCACTTTACTGGCCATATACAATTTCTTGTGTTAGGAATTTGTCTTTTCACAGACCCCAACTCTCTCTCCATGAGACACACAGACAGGGAGAGAAGCTGGGGGTCAGAGCGCAGGGTCAGCCGTTTATACGGAGCAGTTGGGTTGAAGCACGGTGACAAAGGAGAGGGACATACCAGCTTCTCCTTTGAGTTCCCCTTTAACCTTCATGACCTCTTCAGCTGTCAGATCGCCCGTCTTGAGGACAACCACCTGTGGCCGTTCATCCTCACGGTCACTGTCTCCGCTGTCATCAGCCACCGCCGGCACCTCCTGTCTCTGAAGAATCAAAACCCAGCGAGCTGCCTGGAGTCACTTCACGTCTATGTCTAAACTTGTAAATGTATGCATGAGCGTACTTTTAGCTGAACACATCAAAAGACCCAAGATTAGTAATGTACATTACACCACTTTATTCACTACAATTAATTTGGTCTTAAAATTAGACGGCCCGTAGATTAGCTCTGGAACCGTTTAGTTGTAGGATGAAACAAGGCGACATAATTTCTGGGACTATTTGCAGTTGAATCAAACAGATTTTCGTCATTTACTTACCTTAGTATCGATAGTTGGTCCCTCTTTGTAGCCAATATCGTTCTTAAATTTCCGGAGAAAGGATGGCTCGGTGGGCTTCACCCATGACACCTGGTTTTTCTTACTCATCCTGGATCTTTCTGCTGACTTAAACAGAGAATAAAAATCTGAAACAATTTTAGAAGCTACTCGACTCGACTGCACGACACCGCGGTTACAGGAACGGCTTTGTTTGCATGAAACGTCATTCTCATGCGCCCGCTGTCTGATCAATGACGGCTTCCTACGTCTAACTGCTGAGACGGGGGCGTAAGATTGGAATCGTGTTGGTTCTTAATAATGCCCTAATGTAATTATACTGTGGCATTAATGCAGACGTAACTTAATATTTGGATGAAGCGGCTAGAAGATAAATGGATGGATACTGTAATACTCAAATGGAAATCGAGAAAAAAACACCGTGTGGGAAAAGGGGCGTCATACTGTATAAATGGCACACCCTGCGCTCTGACCCCCAGCTTCTCTCTCCCTGCCTGTGTGTCTCATGGAGAGCAAGTTGGGGTATGCGAAAAGACAAATTCCTATTGCAAGAAATTGTATATGGCCAATAAAGTGATTTTATCTTATCTAAAGTTTTATCGAAATTATTCTTCACCGTTATTTAAACCCATTATGTATAGTTTTTTGTGTAACTTCCTGTAAAAATGTCCCATAGAGCTGTAAATATTGTCATAGATACTGTTATAAATAGTGTTATAATTAGTATCCTTTACAATAATAAGAAAATGCATATGCAACATATTTTATGCACCACGGCATAGACAAAATGAATATTTTATTTCGTACGCCAATTCAAAACAGAGAGTACAAGAAAAAGTAACAGGAAGCTTTTGTTTGGGACTTGCAATGTTCATGGCGTGCAAAACCCATCTGCCAAATAATATAATTGACGCTATATAGTCCTTCTTGCTGGGACCCAGACCCTGGCCACGTGATAGGGGCCCGCTCGGCAAGATGGCGGCGTCAGGAGTGGCTTCATCGGCGAAGCGAGGGGAGTGACGTCATACGGGGCAGGAGGAAATTGTAGGTTAAGCGCCAATTTCGAAATTCCGCCATTTCTCTAAAATAGCATCGCTGAAGTAAAAGTAATTCATGATTTTTTTTCATAAGCAGAATTCACTGTTTTACTAGCCCCTGAGGTAGCTGGCCATGGGAACTGGGATTAAAGGTAACGTGGGTTGAAAAAGATTGCTTGCTTGGTCGTGTAACGTTTTTGTCAGACTTGTAAACACAGGCTCGTAATCGCCTGCGAGAGTGCTGATGCCGGACCGCAGCGAGAAACAGATGGGGGTCATTTAACACGTTTAACAACAGCTCTTTCGGCACGGCTTGCGTTTTCTGCAGTATGTGTTAACTCGTTTGAGCAGTTTGTGCGTTTACCTTGAGATCGGCGAGAGGACGGCGGTGTTTCAGCGGCGGGCAAACACTGGATTTCGATGTGTCGTGGTTTCGCTGGATCAAAGGCGAATTTTTATTAAGAGTCAATTCAGGGCAGCTACGTGCAATCACATAAAATGGATCACCCTCCGATATCTTGAATGTCCAGACCGTTTGTGTTTTTTAAAAATATATGGCTTGCGCTCTTTCACGACAGGGTCCGCTCGCCCCTCGAAGTGCTCGGTCAGTATTTGACAGTTTATTGCAGAGGTGTTAAACGCAGACTCATATGTTAGGCTGGCGAAGGAAAGTGGATTGAAATTCATGCTTGATCCGGTCGTTCTTTTTTAAAAAAAATGCAGTTTTGCTAGGGCTGAAAACAGACGGACAAAAAGGAAAACAACAAGGAAATGGACCCGTTTGTAAACACCCTCCGCGTTGTAGCCGTTTATGTCATCAAAAAATGCTCTCTCTGATTTACATTTGGGATTTGGGAGGTCGTAACGAAAGAAAGACGGGCATATTGCGTTTTCAATTCAGGGTGCTTTAGTGACAGCTCTAAAAAAATAATCGGCTTTTCGTCCAACTACAGCCTTTGCCTGTATAACCTGCGTCTTTCAGGGTGATGTATTCTCTTTAATTTAAAATGCTACTGTACGAGTAGAGATGTAGCGATTCTTGTTTATTTTCTCTCTTCCAGGGGATTCTGGGGACGCTGCGCACTTAAGGTGAGGATGACCTGTCCAGACATAATCTTTTCAGTATGACCTGTAATCTAGGAATGTGTTAGATGGCATACATTTGCGAACGATGTGACTTGTACCTGGCATGTCGTGGCTCCTGGGAGATCTGTTGGGTTTATTTTCGCCTGTCTATGTGGAAGTCAGAGATTCACAGTCTTCTCAGCTGCAGAAAACCAGCTACCTGGCCATGCCCGGACTTCAACACTCAGACGAGCGTCTTTCCGTTTGTAACGTTTTCTGAATTCTGCCCAGCAGGTGATAGAGGAAATAAAAAAAAAATTACTGACACGGATTTGTAGACACTAGCCTTGTTTTCTAGAAGCTCCCCTTTTGTTCGTTGCAAAAGTCCTCTTGTATCGGGGACATACTGTAAGACTGAGCCGCTGGCTGTGGTCCTCATGGTCTTCTCTGCACGCCTGGTGTCGTTAACAGCGGCGACGGAGATGCCATCAAGGTGTTTGTGCGGGTTCGGCCGCTGACGCAGGGCACTGGCCTGTCGACAGATGGAGATCCCAGTTTGTGCCTGACGGTCACCTCGCCAAACACCATCCGCCTGCATTCAAAACCTGAGCCAAGGGTGTTTACGTACGACCATGTGGCTGATATGGATGTTTCACAGGTAGGGCATGAAAACGGATACATTGTGTTATCCCTTTTAGGGGTTTAACCAGAAGAAAAAAAACAGCTATTAGACTGGGCGGTGGTGTTTCAGTCTGTCACCTTCCTTTTTATTTACTTTTCTTCATTTCTTTTACTGTTCATCCCATTAAGTGTCTCACCGAACCCGGCTCCAGTTTAGAATCCCCTCTTCACACTGTCTGGTCTCTGTGACTCGCACCTGGGCAAAACCACTGTGAAGGTTTTACCAGGTTTCCCCCCAGTCTTGTAATCTGCTCGGGATCCCTTTTTCCCTGCTCCAGAGTGTGAATTCTGGAGTTCCAGAGCCCGAGCTTGGAGCTGCTGTGCTCAGGCCTGCGAGGTGTGGCAGCCCGACGTGGGGAATCGGTTGTCGGCCTGCTGTAAATACAGTACCACGGTCGGCATTCGACGTGGTTCCCCTCCCAAAACTGTGTGAAAGGGCGCTTTTGGCTTGAAAGAAGTATTAACGTTTTTGATTCTTGCATCATTTTTCTTCTTTTGTCATTGAGGCGCTTCATCACTACTGTCAAGCGATCTGTTGACGAGGTGTGTCTTGAATGCCTTTCCTTTCCATGTCTCTGTGCAGGAGGCAGTCTTCTCCAGTGTTGGAAAGAATATAGTGGAGTCCTGTGTAAATGGCTACAATGGCACCATATTTGCATAGTAAGTGCTGTCCTTTCCTTATAGTTATAGTTCTAAAACCTTGAATATATTAGTGCTTATTGATGCATGTGTGGCAGTTATGCTACAGCTTTAAATAATAAAAAGGGGGTGGATTTATTCCAGCTATGCCACTTCGTGTTTTAAGAGAACGAGGACCCCCAAATTCTGTAGTCTGGCTGTTACAGAAAGAGTGTTTGATTGACTGAGCCACTGTGGTGTCAATGATAGAGAGGGACACAGAATTCAAACCTGCCAGGTTTATTTTCAACAGTAAAAGTGCTTACAGAGGATTCTGCAAATAAAGAAGAAAGCTTACATCTATATAGACCCATATCTCTTCACTAATAATAGCATGCATTACAGTATCGCTGAGACTGGTAACAATATACGCAGATGCAATATAAACCATTCTGATAACAAACACACATTGTTGAGGTAAAATTTTCAACTGGGCGGTGAATGTACAGTTCATAGCCCTGTGCTTATCCCTGTTACAGTACACATGCCATGCACCAGCTAATGTATTTTTAAGATGTTAAGCTATGTGGATTTTTTATTTTGTTTTATACATTTAATTTCAATAATGTATTTTGACTTCACAGTGGACAAACCGGTTCTGGAAAAACATTTACAATGCTGGGTAAGGAAAGAGTTTTAATTTGGTTTATTTCTTGGACGTAACAGTTTGTAATTTGCTACAGATGAACAGGACAATCATTGGCATTAAAGTACATCCAATGCTTTTAGCAAGTAGTTCTATGTCTGTTTTAATATTTAATCAGAAAACATTGAATTATTAATGCTGCTTCTGATCATTCCATTAATTTTGTTACATTCCTACACTAATTTAATTTTTTTGCTACCTGATTCCTAGGTCCTGCAGAGTCTGACAACTTCACACACGACATGCGGGGAGTCATTCCTCGGAGCTTTGAGTACCTGTTTTTCCTCATCAACAGAGAGGCTGAAAAAGTGAGCCTAGTTTTGAGAAGTGTTCTTGATATGGAAGGGTGTATCACTGTCTGATTCATACTCTGAAAGATTTTCATTTCATGCTGTGAAAAGTATTAATGAGAAGCAATGGCTACATCATACAAGGACAGGGCGGTCGCTCGCTCGTCCGGCGATACGAGGGCGGTCGCTCGCTCGTCCGGCGATGCGAGGGCGGGGCGGTCGCTCGCTCGTCCGGCGATGCGAGGGCGGGGTACTCTAGTGACTCTGGCTGTCCCTCTTTTTCCAGTCCAGGAACGGGAAGAGTTTTCTGTGCAAGTGCTCCTTCATCGAAATTTACAACGAGCAGATATTTGACCTCCTGGACAGTGCCTCAGCGAGCCTCTTCCTGCGCGAGAACATAAAGAAGGGCGTATTTGTTGATGGAGCGGTTGAGAAGATTATTACCTCTGCCGGGGAAGCTTATCAGGTAATCTTATCAGGCTCTGCAACTGAAAGCAGCTTTTAATTTGATTTTTTTTCTGTCATATCTACTGTTGATGACGTTTTGATGCTGGCTCTTTCTTTGCTTTGGCATGCAGTGCAAGGCTGGAGCTGCCTTTGTTTTCGTACGTAGATGATTAGGACTCTACTCTCTCCCCCTTGATGCTGCTAGGTGCTGTCGACGGGATGGAGGAATCGCCGGGTGGCCTCGACCTCCATGAACAGGGAGTCTTCCCGATCCCACGCCGTTTTCACCGTCACTCTCGAGTCCAAGGAGACAGTCAACGAGATCGTGAACATCAGAAGCAGTCAGCTCAACCTGGTGGACTTGGCTGGGTCCGAGAGGCAGAAGGACACTCATGCAGAAGGGACTAGACTGAAGGTTATTGCCACTTTGTGATGTTTTTTTTTTTTTCACCGATTAAAACCATACTATACAACAAATAAACAAAGTAAGTGGGACGTTCAATAGCTTTTTTCTACAAAATGCAGTAGTACCTGTTATTTCTATTTTTAAGACAAATACCTTCTTGCACAGCAGGCCGAATGCCCTTCGAAGCAGTATTATTGCTTCAGATACAGTAGTACCGCAAATATCAGCTCTTATTGTAATCGGTTTTAGCTTTAGACATTTCTGTTGAGTGTTTTATGGAATAAACTTGGATCTGGACAAACAATATAGTGGTGCATAGGAACGTCTCTCTAGGCTGAGCGAGATTTCCCAAACGCAGAGTGAGAGTTACTGTAAGTTGCAGAGGGTCTATTTCCTGCCAGCCTGAAAGAAATAGGTTTGGAGAGGCTGAGGGGTTAAGGTCAGGGTGTCGGGGTGCTGTGTCACACGTGCCTCTGGCCGTTTCAGGAGGCCGGGAGCATCAACCGGTCCCTCAGCTGCCTGGGCCACGTCATCATGGCGCTCGTGGACGTCTCCAACGGGAAGAGCCGGCACATCTGCTACAGGGACTCCAAGCTGACATTCCTGCTGCGGGTGAGACGCAGGCGCACGAGCACCCCTCTTTTCTTCCTGCTCGTTTCATTCCTATCTGTCTGGAAATGTTTCCGTCGTTTTGTGACAGGAGGATTATGGTCACTGATGGGTAATTGAGTTGGATCTTACTGCGTGCTGGTGACACTGGTGATGAAATTGCTAACAGCCGGCATTCCTAGTGATTGATAGAATTGAACCACACAGGAATATGTTATTGCACAGTTCTTCTTATCATGCTTTCACAGTTTACTGGTGAAAAGTACAAGGTCGCCGTATAGCAAAAGAAAGAGGTTTCCTTTATGTCTTGTTGCAGGACTCTCTTGGAGGAAACGCAAGGACCTTCATTATTGCCAATGTGCACCCTGGTTCTAAGTGCTTTGGGGAGACCCTGTCCACTTTGCACTTTGCCCAGAGAGCCAAGCTGATTAAGAACAAGGTTAGCAATGTGGGATCACGTGCATGGCCATAGTGTTTGAAGCAGATCACATCGGACTGTATATTAGTATATGAGGCTTGAGACTTTACTCTGGCACCTCTGCAGCGTGTCATTTGATACTCTCACATGTAAAATGTGAATTACAGCAACAATATCAAGGCAGCCTTTTCTTTAAGGAAAGCTTGTGTTTTGTATGGCTAAAGTTCAAAACGGATTAATTATTTTTTTATTATTTTTACCCAAGGCTTATTTCCCTCAAGTCCTGTCGCTTTCTACTGTGCTTGAAGTTGTACCTTTTCAATTTTAAAGTGGATTAGATATTTACTACAGTTCAGTACAGTCAAGGATGGGACTATCCTTTAATCGAACACAATCTTAGCAGAGCCAAATGCAATAGGAAGGCCTTTGAATTGACTTGAGCATAGTTAGAAGCTATTGTCTTTCCTGAGAAGGCTGGAATCTCATATCGGAAAGCTAAGAAATAGATTTGTTTTATCAACAGCTCTTGTATGCGAGCGATGAATTTAAAAGCAGCCCGCGGAGCCGCTAGTTGTTTTTTCTGATTGGGTGCTTGGCGTGGCGCTGTGCTTGCAGGCGGTGATCAACGAGGACACGCAGGGGAACGTGAGGCAGCTGCAGGCCGAGGTGAAGAAGCTGAAGGAGCAGCTGGCCCAGGCCTTGGCCGCCCAGACCCCCGCTGGGGCTCGCGGAGGCCCTGACCACGAGGGGCACAGCGTCCCTGCAGGCAAGGACGTCTCTCGCACCGTTTATTTGCGCAGAACAGCACGAACAACAAGCAGTAGGATCGTGTTTCAGCTTGCATTATGCTTTTTTCCCCCACTAGTGAACGTGCCAGAAAAGATCATCTTCATTTGTTTTTGGCACTGTCTAAAATAAGTGCATTTACACTGTCACGGTCTAGAAGTGAAACTGGTTGGTTTAATGAAACAAAGCGCATCTACGTGACTGCTAATTGGTGACATGTCCTTATAGATCCTGTTGAAAACGGTGTTTCGGAAAATGAGCACAAACACAGATTTTTAGAAGCCATGCTTCTGTGGGAGAAAAGTGAAAGTGAAAAAAAGGTATTGTACGTTTTTACTTTTTTAATGTATTTTAATTGTCATGTTCTTGCACATTCCTCATTTGAATCGCCTGACTGCAGGTCAATAATCATTAAGTTTTCTCAGTTGGCAATAGATGTGTGAATTTTAAATCAGTTTTTGAATCCAAGATGTTTTGAGTAGAGAATTTTAAAAGCAGTTTTTACTATTTTTTTGTGCCACCTGCTTTTCTGTTGATTTTGCTTTTCCGTTGGAATTTTGACACTAAAGTAGTTTTGGTATAAAACGGCTGGGGGTGAACACACGAAGTAAAGGATTCTGTTTTGCAACAGTAATTGAGTACTCACATTGTTTTGAGAAGCATTGAGGCTCTGATATGATTCTCAGTGCCTGGTGGGAAATTAGGAACAGAAAGTAATTGAATGTACTGTGAAAGCATCTTCCTTCAGAGGGACTAGGGGTGACCTGCAAATGACCAATACAAATACCTGTAAAATACTTGAAACAGAATTTTCTTGAACAGCAATGAGATAGATGGGAGCTTTTGCCATTTGAGGGATAGGCGAAGTACTGCTCCTGGAACAGAGGAATTCTGGTAGCTTAGCGTGGCTTGTAAATGAAGAATGTCTCTTTAGAATGATAATTTAAAACACCTTCCTTTTGCCTCGAGCAGAATCTCCAGAGAAAAAATCATTTGGTTAATTAGCCAGGATTAAAATTAATCTCTTCCTCATGAATGAACTGTTATTTTATTGTAATGAGACTTAGGCACCGATCGCTGAAGAGTGCCTCTCTCCTGACCTTGAAACCGAAAAAGCAAAATGTTATCTTGAAGGACTATGTTAGTTTCTTTCTGAATTAGAACACGTGTAATCAGTGCCAAAAAACTGCGACTCTGAATTTCAGACACTGTAGGGCAAAAAGAATAATGTTAATGAAGACGCCGCTAATAAAAAATAATGTCCAGAGACAAGCCCATAGATTTCTTGAGGGTGTAGTGGTAATATTTATTATAAAGATACCCTAAGAGAATTTTTTACAAAATTATAACTTGCAAAATGTGACTTAAAGAGAAATCTTGGTAATACCTTGTTGTCATTAGCGAAGTGCGATCTGTTTCTGCAGAACCTGCTTCAGAAAGTGACTCAGCTCGAAGAAACGTGGGCTAAGAAGGAAAAGTTCATTCAGTCCAACCGGATGATCCTGAAGTTCCGGGAGGATCACATCTCCCGCTTGGAGAAGAGCCTGAAGGAATCGCAGGGAGGCCTGTCTAGCCAGGAGAGTGAGGCCGCGGTGTCTCAGCTGAAGCAGGAGATTCAGATTCTAAGAGAACAGGTACACAGAAGAAGATCTGATTCTGTTTGATTCTTGGCAAGGATATCTTTTCCTGAGCAGATGGAGGCCAGTGTTGCCCAGGAAAGGATCCGTTCTGCTCTCCTCTTTAATTTCTTGCTTCCCTTTTGTGTACGTCAGCGATACGAACAAGAATGTGGGTCGTAGCATAACCCATCTTGTTCTCCGCACAGAATTTTCCAAACTATTATATCATCGCACGCAACGGTGTCCTTTTAAATAAAGTCGCGGAACCTAGCGTTGCCATGTCGGATCTGGAGCATTTTTATCCGTTGTGTGCTGTTCCTGCTCTTCAGATACATCTCAAGCGTAAAGGCTCCTACGAAGGCTTCAGTGGTCGCTTTACCCTGGACCGTACCCTGCGAACGCCCTCGAGGTGGTGCAGCAAGCAGTGCGAGCCCTTGGGTCCCTTTTCCTAAGTTCTGTTGCCTGTGCCGACCAGGTGGAGCAGCACCCCAGGGTGGCGAAATACGCGGTGGAGAACCACAGCCTGCGGGAGGAGAACCAGAGGCTGCGCTCCCTGGAGCCGGTGAAGAGAGCCCAGGAGCTGAGCGCCCAGGTGGCGGCGGAGCTGGAGAAGGCTTTCCGGGAGGCCAGCGCTGCGGAGAAGCTCCCTGGAGGTGCGGCATGCTCTCTGGCTCCCAGGGCGGCGTCGACCCCGCCGGCCGCATTCTGTCTGGTGCAGTTTTGTCGCGAGCCAGTTTCTTTCAGTGTTGATAATTCACTAGATTCAAATTCTTTGTTTGTTTTTTTTGCGCTCGAAGCTGAGGGGGAAACGCGGGGAGGTTTTCAGGAAGCCCTTGTTTTAGAAGTGGCGTGCTGCAGAAGCGACTTTGAGCTCTGGCTCCTGCCCCTTTCTGTCTTGGCTGCGTCGTCGTTAAATCGGTCCCGCCTGTGTTTCAGTTCCACCCCTCTTCTCGACTCCCGTTGCTGCCGAGAACGTCTCGTCTGTGTCAGTGGAGCGGCTGAGAGCCCAGCTGATGCAGAAACAGGCAGAGCTGACCACGACGGTGCAAGCGTATGAAGAATATAAAGAACTGACTAAGTGAGTCGAGTACTGGTCGTCCTGCTAAAATTTCTGGAAACAAAAACACATTTCTGGAGTATGTCGTCAAGGAGCTACTGAGTGCCGTTTTGTAATACTTTAAGTGCTAATACCCAGTGTCTTTATTAGCATCAATATCCTGTGCTGAATTCTAGTTCCTCTGTTCTTTTCCCGTTTGTCACAAGCTTCATTACAAAGTCCTTGAAATCTTGTTTTATACTTCTCTGTAAAGGCTGCTGCAGTCACACCGGGAGAGAAAAGAGGAGCCGATGAATCTTTTGCCAATTATAATGACCTCTTGTACCCACAGGAAGAGGCTCTTGGAGATGGAGTCGGAAAAGCAGTACCTTGAAAAGGCCAACCAGCACCTGGAGAATATTTTGGAGGCCACACAAGCTCACACAAGACAAGAAGTTTCCCAGCTGAACAAAAAGCATTTTGAAACCATCAAAGTAAGGAGCCAAAGAGTGCAAAATGTGGTCATTTATATGCAAGGTGTGATGGTTACAAGCAGAGTACCCTTGTAAGTGGTTTTAAAGAGTCCTTTTGCTCGCTGCTACAGAACCTGACCACACCCACCAGGGGTTATTGCCTGAGATCCCGTCTGGTGCCACACTTCAGTCCTGACCACTCGATGGACCTGAGTGCCAGGAGCCTGCCTGCTGAGGATCCAGTGGATGACATCCTCAATGAGCCCGTCCCTCCCGAAATGAACGAGCTGGCCTGTGAGGCCCTCACTGAAGAGCTGGAAACGGTGCAGGTAGAACAGGAGGATATTTACTCCGGCTTTCGCTCCTTCTCTCATGTTCTGGCATTCTGATTTGATTTGTAGAATATTTGCAGTTCTGATAAGACAATGGGAGGAATGTCACTTTGGCCTACAAGCTGTGTAAATCACTGGATCTGCATGTCAAGATGTTTTTTTGGTCTTTAAAGGAGCAGGTCAGTGCGCTTCAGCTCAAGCTGGACGAAGAGGAGGTTAAGAACAGGAAGCTCTTGCAGCAAATCGGTAAACTGGAGGAACACTCGAACAAAATGGAAGAGGTAAGGAGTGGCATGGTGCTACCAGACCATGTGTTCCTGGGGACGATAACGGGTTCCTCGGTCCTCAATTTCTGTGGTGCTGCTCATTGAATGGTAGTCTTTATGATAGCTGACATTATAAGACTGTTCTTTAAAAAATACTGATTATTTGAGTTAGATGATGCTCTCAAATACTGGATCTTTAAACCTTTTTTGAAGGGTTTGGCAATGGTCTGCACATTTCTGAACATTGTAAACTGTCTCTACTTAAAATGCAGTTATGTTACTGATGTTAAGACCCATTTAAATGTTCCCAAGGGACTCCAGACTGAGTTGGTCCAGATTATCCCTCCTTATCGTGTTCAGGAGCTCTGACTAATTTGGGTTGATTTGAGTTTTGGCTGTCCTGTTTTTATTCAGCTGTTGTCATCTGAGAGGAGCAACTGGAGCAAAGAACAGCAAAACCTTCAGGATCACATTTCATCTCTGGAAAAGGACCTGCGGGAGGAGAAGACCAGGACAGACGGTGATCTTTTTCTGTTTCCCGTGGAACTATATATAACTAT